TTTTGCATTACCTCGCAATACTTTTGTGTTCCCTCGCAATACTTTTGCTTTCCCTCGCAATACCTTTGCGTTCCCTCGCAATACTTTTGCGTTTCCTCTCAATACCTTTGTGTTACCTCACAGTACTTTTGCGTTACCTCGCAATACCTTTGCGTTACCTCGCAATACTTTTGTGTTACCTCGCAATACCTTTGCGTTCCCACACAAAAAATTGTTTGGTATATGAACTGAATTAAATCAGACTTTTGAATTATCTGGTTACCAAAACAGGATGTGTCGGCACAAGTTAGTGAAATTGACAATGATGTTGCGTGGCTGCACTGTGTTAAAATACTTCCATGCGTAGCTGTGTGATGTATTCATTCTGAAGCTGAATTAAAGTAGTACGCTAACTCGCTAATGGTGAGCATGTGAATTTGGTAATAACCTAGCAGGCACAATAGTGTTTAATGACTTTTGCGAGGCAACACAAAACGTATTGCGAAGTAACGCAAGAAGAAAAAAATCACCCATGTCCCCTCGCGGGCTTCGACATAATTGATAATTTGAGAAACGGCCACAATATTTTATTATACATTAGACCAACAAAGGTCAAATTATGAAGCAGTGTAGAAGCCTTTATTCTGAAATCCTCTAGAACTCTTCCAGATTACATATTACTCCCATCACAAATGAGGTCTTGTTGTTTTGTAAATGTCACGTTAAACTTGAATGAGTTTTATATTGAGACTCTCAGAAACCTGAGGAGTCTGTTAGATCTGTCATATGAACTCACGTCACTGCTGTGTCTGCTCACTCCAAATGTTCTTCATCAGGACAAAAACTCCTTGTCCAAGGTGCCCTCTGGGATGCAAAGTGGTGGAGAGGAGGAGCCGGAGGACGAGCCCCACCYTCCTCTACCCCCCCGCATGGAGATCATCAAGGACCCTCCAGCTCCTGATGACAAGGTAACCATTGAGGGGTTTTGTGTGTGTGTTCTCTTTCTTATTTGGTGATTTTTGTTATGTAAATGCACATCTATCTTACAAAGCTTTGTTTTTAAATCGAGTTTTATGGTAGCTGTGGTTTTGATAGCAGTAATGCTGTAGCTCTCCTCTCAGTTCTTCATGGTTGCTCACCTGTAACTTTCATTCTTCTCTGATTACTTGTGCTTCCCTCTGTAATTTCAATCTAACACACCTCTCCTTCTTCCTTCTTCTTCCTCTCCAAGTCTTCGTCCTTGCTAACATCTCTGCAGTCATCCTCTGAGGTGCCCAGTGCTGCAGAGCTTGTTAGTGCCATAGAGAAACTGGTTCAAACAAAGATGGTGAGTTTGTTATAAAGACTGTCTTCAGTAAATGCAGTTCATACCTCTGCCTCACTCAGAGGTCTGCATTCATTTTTTTCAAGGATGTTTTTGCATTTAAAAAAAAACGAGAGAGGCTGTTTACTTTTTAAAGGGATCCCCGATTAGTTGTAACATTAGACTTTATTTGATAAACATTTATTTTAACTGTAAAATGGAGACACTAAAAATACTGTAGGAT